GCCAGTTACTGCAGTCAAAAGTGACACAACCATAGATTTTTTTCCCGCCTCTTCATGAATAAAAAGGGGAACTTACATTTTGCGTTTATTCAGGTAGTAGTTGTACAATATAACAATCTGTTTGATATTTTTGAAGCATTTATAAATGCTACAAAAATTCAAAAAAAAAAAAAAAAACCCCGGAGGGATTCTGTAAAGAGGAAGACACTCTCGGACCTCAGCCTGGTCTAAGCAATCTTTGAGCTCATGTGCTGACTTGCTGAAAGACCCCACCAGTGCGCTATTGTCAAAAACAGGGTAAGATTTGCAGAGTTAAAACATCAGTGATGTCACACAGGACAGTGAAGGTCATCCGAATCACGATCTGAAGTCAAACCATTTGCTTCCCTGTGCAATGATGAGATTAGCATGTCTGGGGTGTCTCCCCAACATGAGTAAAATTGTTATTTCTCCTTGTCTGCCATTGCTCCCAGTTATGGCATCACTAAAAAAAATAAAAATAAAACAGCAGTCAATATGATATGGAAGGTGAACCTGTAGTCTGGCTGCTGGCAGTCCTTGAGGCGGGCAGCAGGACGACACGGCCGCCATAAAGAGTCCAATAAATGAACCCAAACGGCAGATGCAGATGTCATGAGGTCTTACGATGCTTTGCAGAGAATAGAATATTCTCCCAGTGTTGACTGTTTCTGGAAAAAAGGAGACTTTAAATATGCGTGGGAAGAGACAATATTCATCTTAAGCTCTGTACATGTAATGTAAGTGATAATATGAGTCTGTTGGACCATTTTAATCTCACTGAATGTTCAAATAAATACTTTGGTGAAGGTAAATTGACTAGTAGAATATGATTATTTGGTTATTCTTGAAAAATCAATAGACAAGGAAACCTTTTTTTGTTGTTGTTTAAACCTGACAGATTTAGAGTTTGACAGTGGTTTAAACCAAGATGGCTGAGAGCTAAATACGAGAGCGGGACGGCTTTAAGAAAATACATGGAAAAATGCGGAAGAATTGTGATATATCTTCTGTAAAAGGGTGAAATCTGGAATCGTTTGCTTTGGCCTTACGAGGTGTGACGCTAGTCTTCAGCGGAGCTTCAGGAATTGGTGTTAAAACCTGTAAATAAACGGGTTCCGACTTCCGTATCACTGAGGTATTTTCATGCTGCTCCTGCAACAACACATTAACCAACTGAGAGGACAGCTGCAGGATCTCAAGTGATGTCGGAAACGGCTTACAGCAGCATGTATTCTGGAGGATAATCGTATGGCTTGTCCAGCACAGATGGAAAATTGCATGCGGTAAGCCTTTTTATGTAGGTTGCAAATTAAAGTGCCTGAGGTGCAACACAGCAACCCAGGCTTTTGCGCAGTTTTCCCGTCCTCATGAGGTCAATTCAGCAGAAAGGTGTTTTCCCTCACCCTTAAACTCCCTACTAAGACCCACATTTCTTTTTTTTTTTTTCTTCTTCTTTTTAATCGTTAAAGTCAAATAAAGATAAGCAAAGTACAAGCTGTGCTGGGGTTATTAGGAAATGTTTAAAGCGACAGACACTATATTATGTTGTGACAGGATATTGGATTTAAAGAGGGGAAACAAATGTTAACTTAATCTACTGCTCGGGAAACACCAGGTGCTGTGCAGCGTTTCGATCCGCCGCTTGACGAGGCCACAACAGAGCGAGCTCGGATTGTGATGACTCCGGAGTCGGGAGTCCTCTGGGGAAGAAAAGCCTGAAATGTCACGGCAGCAACGGCAAAGCGGGGGCTGCTTAGGGGCGAGTCTCGTCAATAAATCAAAGCACACTCTATTAGAGAAATTTACTGTTATTACATGTGGATGATGCACAGCCAACTGTCTCGAGCGGAAGACGGGAATCGATAAACAAACGATATTTCTTCTGTTCAACTCGGCGCATGCTTCCCGTGCGAACTTTTGGATGGGAAGCAAATTGAAAACCACCAACTGGAAAGAGATTATCCTCTCTGGTTGCCAGTTCACCTGGTTTTGTCACGGTAACAACGTTGGTCAGGTTTGCTGAGCCAATCAGACGTTCCCTCGGAAACAAGGTGATCCATCAAAAACTCCATGGCACACATCGGAGTGAGCAAGGCAAATTGCTTTATTACCCTGAAGGAAGAAAACATGGCACCTTTTTTTTTTTAAATTATGATTATTATTTATTTACGTTCTCTATCTTTTAAGGTTTAATCACTTTTACCCTCAGATGTCTTCCTTTATTGTTCAGGGAGATGTTCATTAGCCGAATACAATTACTTACAGCAGGAGTAATTGCAATCGCACTTTGTGAAACCTTAACTGTAAAACATGTGCTTGAAGAAACTTTACATTGCTGCTGGTAAATTGAGGTTTCTCTCACAGCTCCTATACACTTATCATATGCATAAATATTATATCAATTTTGGATTATAATCTGCACAGGGAAAAAATTACAGACTCATTATATTGGCTAAACCACCCTCATCTCCAAATGTCTGTTTGCAAGCTGTAAATAATCCTTTTATTGTTTTTGTCCATCGTGAGGCTTCTGGCATTATTCATCCTTGACATCTACAACCTTTCTTGACAGAAATTCTCAGGTTTATTTGAATTTGTTGGTTTCCTTGTGTGGATCAAACCTTCATGTGTAGTTTTTCAGAGTTTCAACAGGGTTGACATTGGGTAAACACAATCTGTTTTAAATATCTCGTTAGCCTGCTCGTGTTGAGTTACTTGAGATTATTGCCCTGTTTGGGCCAGAAAACATAACGTGTCCACCATTTAGCCAATTCAACATCAACACGGAATGAGAGGCTGTCAACAGTAAAGAAGTGAAAGCTTCAAAATAGATATTTAATACGTAAAACACTTTAGCCAGAGTAAAATAAAGGTTTGGCATTATCAGAATGGTACTGATGTGGCACTTAAGGGTAAAAGTTTCTAACTTCCTGTCAAATCAACAACTAGATAGGTTAATTGGAGTTTGGACACAACTGGGTGGTCCAACAATGCAATACCAAACACACAACTAATCTGGTTGTTGCACTAATCCAGGCCCTGTGGCAAAGGGGGGCATTGGGGGACTTTGCCTTCCCATGGAGTCAGCCGTGCCCCCCCTGGACTGGAAGCTGTTTGTTGTTTTTACCTCAGAGTGGCCAACTCTCTGTTATTCCTTATCAATTTGATACAATAGGGGCTTCCGCACTTACAATATCTGTGTCTTCTGTCACTTTTTTCAGCCATTAAAATGGTCTAATCGTCGTTAACACGTCGTGACCTGTTTTTCCGAGCCACCTCTAAACGCAACATGAATGCTTAGACGCTCGCACTGGGTTTTAAGAAAATAAGTATGCTAATTTTAAAACTTAACATGTCTTGATTGAAATAGCCTAATTATAGTTTTCAGATTAATAACTTATTCTGCCCTATTGACCTTTATTTTACCTGTAGTTACAGCAGATTGTTTAAGATCTTTTTGAAAGTGCCCTTTGTCTGTGTGGGAAACAATCAGGAGAAGTTCCAGCTTTTACACTGATCTGTGAAAAGCCGTAAAACAGCAGGAGTCCAGGCCAGTAGAGGAGAGTCTCTGCTTCCACTTTGTTTAGACAAAGGGGACAAATGGCCTTAGATCGTGGAAACAAATTGCAGGGAGTTTCTGGCTTCAGAGAGAGGGTCAGAGACAGCTCCTGGTTGGATGAGCAAAGATACACCTTATTTGAATAAATTAAAGACAAGAATTCGCCTTCACCATAAAACTTTCTACACAGGAGTAACAAATCAGATTTGCTCTTGCAATTCTCCAAAGACGTCTTTGCACGTCTTTGCTTTTCTTTCCTTCTTCTTCTTTTATATTTGTCTTAGGTAAATGAATGTATATCTCTGTTGCTCTGCAGTTTCTGTTGTAATTTCATACGTTGTCTTCTATTGGATTAAACTCTGAAATTCTGTGACGTCTGCACTCGTTGTTTTCTGTGTGGTTTCACTTCGGCCCGCCAGGAGAACCTGGGATCCGTAAGAAGATTGAGCCAGAGATTTTCCTAAAATATATTATAACTTAAAATCTTCAACAGTTTATACCTGTGCGGCAGCAACGGAGACCTGCTGCTGCTGTTCAGAGCTACGCAGGTGTGTGTTAGAATCATGGCGCAAAGAACTCTGCATAGTTTCCCCCCCAAACTAACCAAGTGAGTTGAGGAATGGTGTTGGATGCAGGTAATGTTAGCTAAAAGATGTCGAGCTAACACCAATACATCACCTTAAAGCTTGTTGACTAGCAGCCTGTAGGCTACCAATTTGTTTATGTTCAAAAGTGTGTAGTACTTGTTACATTGAGTAACGTTTTTGGAAAAAAGGTGCTGATATGAGTAGTTTTACTGCACTGTACCTTTTTCTTTTACTTGAGTAGTATTATTATTGCTATGTATTCATTTCGCCCCCCGTTAAACTCATCAGGAGCCGGGACTGCGATTAATCTAGTGCAGGTTTATATTAAACTTGCACTAGATTAACAGCCAGGTCTGTGATGATGAACACAAAAACTCTCTGCTCAAGGTGCAAGTAGCTAAGTAAAATGTAACCGAACATTAGTGTGGGTGTAAGCATATATTTGACCGTGTGTGAATTGGAGGAAATGCACAATATATGCAAACGTATGCATATTTCTAATAAAAAGTAGCGTAGTTGTTAGCTGCATTATCAAACCGCTCTGGAACAGAATTAGTCCAAACTGATTCAAGATTGATTAAATGAATTGATTGATTGAAAACCTACATATTAATGGTACATTTATAGCAACAATGAGTGCATGCAAACTTCTGACCTCAACTGTGGCTTGTGATAAAGGTTCAAGTTACTAGTGCATACATAAACATCATAATTTATTTAAAGTTTATTCAAAGTTACATACTGTAAGTGTTTAATAAATTACATACAGAGTAGGGCTGGACATATTTTTTTTTTCACTTCAGCTGTTTTCCTTTTCTTTAAAAAAAAAAAACAAAAAACAAGTTGACCGCAATTTAAATCATTTTTCCAAGATGCTGATTTGAATAAAGTGAAAAGTAGTGGGTAAAGGAGTCGTACCTTATGTTTGAGTGTCATAATTCTTTTGGCAGCCTTGCCTCAGTTGAGTGTTAAAGGGACAGTTCAAAAAATTTAACATCTGAGATGTGACCACCAAACCATTAAAGGTTTTGGTGCTAATAATCGACAGGCTAGGCCAAAGGCGCTACTTATCTAAAGGACACTTCAAGAGGAAATTTAAAAAAATGAAACTAGTGCCTCATTATCCTCCTGTGCTGACATATGGCTGAGCTGCTAAATACCTTGAGTTTGTGGGGGAAAAAAAGGAGAAAACAGTTTAAATCATTATAAAGGCAAAATAACACCCACACTGAACAAAATTAAACTAGAAGACCAAGATTTAACAGTTAAAAAAAAACCAACAACAAAACTATAAAGGAATTTATTGAGCAAACAAAGAGAAGAGCTGGTAGTGATTTGTGCGTCTTAGTGAATTATTGGGTTGTTCCTCGCTTGTTAAAGTAGTTTTCGATACTTGAGTTGAGAGGCAGCATGTGCTGAGCAGGGTGGGAGATGTTTTCATTAGGAAAGAGCTGATCGTGCTTCATCAAGTCAGATACTGAACAGCTGCCAAAAAGCCCATGATCCTAATTTGAAACAATGCTTGACGAGCCACCATAGGCTTCAAAAGTAAAACCCTTCACTCGCTCATTTATCACACCGTCTTAATTCAGAGTTCCTGTTGAGCAGTAAGCTTTTCCACACAGCTCAGCGAGTAGCAGCTTTGTTTGGCTACACGTTTCAATGTGAAAGCTTAAACTAAATAAGCTCAAAAACTATTGAACGTGACGTTACTAGACCGTTTGTAATTTAACTGCTGCCACATTACCATTCCCACTTTATGTCAAGCTACAGCTACAAACTTTGAAAAAATAAAAAATAAAAATCTGAAGGAGGAATTGAAATATTCCAGGCTTTGAGCGTTTCAAAACACAACCGTCCAGCTAAGCTAGCAACCTGTCCCCGCTGCAAAACATGGTAGATGGAGCGTCATGCTGTGGGGATGCGTTGCTTCATCGGAGACAGGGAACCCTCCCACAGGATTTGAATGAGCTACATTCAAGTCTTCGCAACAAAAAAGGTTGAAAAATGTGAAAAAGTTCGAGGGCTGCGAATACTTCTGGAAGGCGGTGTGGGTGCATTTACGACTAAGTCAGAACAACATATTTGTTTAATATTAACGAGCAAATACAATGTTTGTTTTGCCAACATTCACAGTTTAATTATGAGCAGATGTGAGCATGAAATGTGCTTGTAAGGCATTTCTGCATTATAATTGGTGATTTATTGTCCAGCCCTACTCCTGTATTTGTTGCCAAAAGCTAAGGGGATACAGAATTTAATGAACTCAGCACTGAAATCAAGAAATGGAACCAGTCCATGACTATTCTTTTTTTTATATTACCAAATAAAGGGCAAAGCACAGACTTATTTAGAAAAAAAAAAAAAAAAACGTCCTTCGCTTCAAATCTGCATGCAATTCTCCCAGTACACACAACAAAGATAGCTCAAATTTGAATGAAAGCAGCCGAAAAGCACACAACTCAATGCACATCACAATTCTTAAATCTTTTTCTCAGCCTGACGTAAAGTGATAAAAATGATTAACGGGACTCCCGACAGCTGATTTCCTCCTGGTTAAAGTTCATTCAACACTGAATTCAAATAAAATTAAGTGATTGTGCTTTCATAACCAAAGTAGAACAAAAAAAAATAAAAAATACAGAGACAAAAATGTACATCACTTAATTAACAAAACAAAAACATTAAAACTGTTATATAAAAATCTGAAGCACTTCTGTGGCAGTAAACAATTTACAAGATGGCTGGTAATGACCGCAGTTTAGTTACAGAGAAAGAACAAGACGACGGACGAACAAATATCACACAAACCGCGGCGAGCGACAACACTCCGCTCATCTCCGCCATCCACTGTGCATTCGTTATATTTTCAAAGGAGCCAGCAGTTCGAGGACCTGAATGCTGGTCATTAAGAAAAAAAAAAAAGAAAAGAAAAAAACAAGTCCACCATTTAATATGAGAGCAATGTTTTTTTAACACCAAATGTGAAATTCAAAGTAGAAAAGGATGTTGTGCAGTATTTTCAGAGTTTATGTCCACATTTTAAAAGCCACAAGTCCAGCTGTAGTATATTCCTCTGGAGCTCCCGATGCTTCTTACCTCTTTAGGAACTATGAGGATAAAAACAGACACGTGTATTTCAGTTTGAGTGGAGCTTCAGTCCATGGAAAACAGCCTTGTTCATACTTACCTCTTCCACCTGTTCTGTGAGGATGGCCTGCTCTCCCTGTTTGGACCTTGAGCCTCCACATGCCTGAAAGTTTGATGGATTGCAGCCCGACTCCCTCTGAGGCTGGCCTGACGGGAAAGACGGACGACTGTACAAAAGCACGTCCCCGAATTCTGAAGAAGAGGCATGAAGACAAACAAGCATGTGGGAAATTAAAACAATTGGATGTCTGCATATGACTCATCGACTTTGAGATGCTTCACAAGGCTTTTCTTTTCTTTCCACTCTTCCATAAAGGCCAGATATATGGAATAAACGACAATCACACAAAGGTGAACTCTGTTTACTAATTAGGGGACCTCTTAAGGCAGGTGGTTACAATCGATTGTATCTTGGGGTATCAAAGTAAAGGGGGCAGACTGTAATTTTCATGCTACACTTTTTACATTTTTACTGGTAAAATGTAAAAAGGGGAAATATAAACCTTTTTCCCTCTCTCCACCTCACAGTTTTGCACTTTTTTGTGTTTTTCTACCACATTCTGAATGATTATTGAACAGCACACTGAAAAATGTGAACAACTTTGACAGAATATATGTCAAGGTTTCCCCAGAAAATTTTTGCTAAGCCCCTGTGGTTGGCTGTGAGGGCAGACATTCATCCAGCGGCCCGTCGTGTTTTTGAGTTAAAAAATGTTTCAAGTTGACAGGAAACTTGATAATCATGGGTTACTGGAAGATTGGAAGATTAACACCTGAACAACTATAAAGTCTTAAAAAATGCAAAAGATTTTAAAAAGACTTAAAAAACCCCGTTATGCTTAGCCTGGTGGCCCGCCAGGCTTATAACAGTGTTAAAAATATTTCAGTAACGGTGTAACTTCTTCCATACCTGAATGCTGTCGGTTGTTGTTGTTTCCTTTAGCCCCCTGTGGAACCTTGTCCATTTCTTGACTCTCTCTCTGCTCGGTCGCTACGTCTCTGGCCCTGTGAGTCCCGGCGCTGCCTCGTCTGGCCCGGCCCTGCCCGGAGCCCATCCGAGGCAGAGTCGCCCCCCTCGCTTTGTGGTCGTCGTGGGACATCTGGTTCGTGAAATTTAGAGGCATGCAAGAGTCTGGGGGAAAAGCAGAACAAAGCGAGCGACCCTGTTAGCGCTGCCGGAGATGTACGCAGCAGCAAATTTCATGGTTTCTCGTGACTTTACCGTCGCTGAAGATATCTTTGGATTGGTAGTCCTGTTGTCCAGACTGGTTTGGTTTATGGCGTCTGGGCCTTTTGTGTGTTATCGCAGGACTCATGTTGCTGTCCGTCGACATGGGGCTGCTTGCTCGCTGGTGCCGCCGACCTGAATTCGTGACAAACTCTAGTTAGACACAAAAGATTAAACTGCACACAGTAATTTTGGACATTTTCTTAAAAGGCCGGGGTTATGTGCTTTCCAGCCACATTGCCCCAGGGCAGCCATGGCTCCAATCCACTGGCGTCATCATCAGAGTGTGAATACGCCCTTTCAGATCTCAATTTAATTTAAAGGCGTTATAAATAAAATATATTATTATCATTATTATAGACAAAATTTGCAACTTAATCCCTTTGAATTGGGCCTCTGTTTCTTTAAGAACATCCTGCTCTTCCCAACACTCTGCCTTCAGGAAGTCATCACAACATTGCCCCTCTATTAATGTTTCAACAATGTTTTTACCAGCGTTTAATTGAGAAGTAGCTCGTATAATGAGCTCAGCAGACATGCAGTTCCACCGGGTGTTTGCTAAATGCTGCTGGCTAGTCTGAAGGAGCTGAGTGTGGGTGTTGCCGAATGTTAAAGCTTGGAAACAGCAGCTGTGAGGAGGAGCTCCATCCTCGGTCCCCCTCAACATGTTTTGCACAGGTGAATGGTTGCCACGGGAGACTAAAGGATCTCTCAAACATGCAGAAAGAATCAAAGCAACACTCCAGGTAGGTTTCTGATGATTATGTAACATAACTAACCCCTTTAAATAGATAGATAGATATTTTCTTTTTATTTTTGAAGTAGAGTTGAAGATCTATTGCTCAAAACTGAAGATTTGAAAAAAAAAAGAGACTAGTTTTGGTATTGCCTGCTTTTGTTGCCAGAAGTCTGCGACCCTACTTTGACATTTACGTTGCCTACTGTCCTAGACTTGGACAGACATAAAGTCATATTATAAAGTGAAAGGAAAAACAAACAAACAAAAAAAAAACAGGAGGTGTATTGAGGACAAACCACACATCTGTCTCACCTGGCACCTCTGGGTACCTGCACATGCGCAGGCCTACAATATCCCTGGAAGAAGCGACAGCCTGGTTGAAATCGCCGTCTGTGAAGAAAGAGCCCTCCGATGTGCTCACGACGCTGGACCTGCCTGACGAGATGTTATCCTCAGACGCCGAGCCCCAGCTGTTGACCATAGACCCTGTGACCGATCTGTCCAGATCCCCGGTGCTGGAGGCCGGCGTCTGCTCCAGACCTTGCAGGAGCAGTTTGTGCGGAGAGACGTGGTGCGGCTGCTGCTTGTGCTTCAGGTGGTGCTGGGATTGGCTGTAGAGATCTTCCGCCAGCGCGGCCTCCGTCTCCTCGTCGGCTTCCTCCTCGTTCTCCTCCGGTCCATCTGTGTCCAGTATTGAGCAGTAGGTGTGGGCGAGGTGTTCGGCTCCATCCTGCAGGCCGTTGCTAAGGTCTCCCTGCGGTGGAGCGGCGGGTACGCCGCTGCAGGACGCTTCAGTAGTTGATGAGGCTACTCCTCTGACCGGGGGAGTGGGGCAGCTGTCCAGTCTCTCCTCTGGATCAAAGCTGGTAAGAATAATTATGGAAAAGACAAGGTAGAGTCTTAAACCAGTGAGGTGGAGTGACAGTCGGAAACGGTTTCTGAAAAATACACAGTGATTATTGGATTTGGAAATAAGCTCAGCTTTTTTATATATATACACTGCTCAAAAAAATAAAGGGAACACTCAAATAACACATCCTAGATCTGAATGAATGAAATATTCTCATTGAATACTTTGTTCTGTACAAAGTTGAATGTGCTGACAACAAAATCACACAAAAATCATTAATGGAAATCAAATTTATTAACCAATGGAGGCCTGGATTTGGAGCCACACACAAAATTAAAGTGAAATGTTCCCTTTATTTTTTTGAGCAGTATATAAATAACCAGATTTTCTAGAAATAGCTCCAAATATACCAAGTATTTCTCATACCAGGCAGCTAAAGCAGACTTGACGGTTGCCACAGCAACATATCAAGCAGGCTGCAGTCATTGGCGGTAACCTCCAACTGAGTAAGGACGCCAACTAAAATTTCAACCCCATTTTATCATATCGTTGCCTTAGCCTTAAACTTGTGGGGCATTAAAATGACCCATAACATGTGAGGTGGTAGAAAAAAGATCTCATATAAAAAAAAACTGAGTGTTACATTCACTGTCGCTACAGTAAAACACGGTGGTTGCAGCATCATGCAGTGGGAGTACCCAGGTGAAGAGGAGATGGTACACTGGGAAATAATGAAAGGAAAACCCATTAGAGACAGCTAGAGATACAACAGAATGCTGTGGATCAAAGCCTAGTAATGTCTCAGAATGGCATGATCAAAGTCCAGACTTAAACCCAAGTGAGCTGGAGATGTTTAGTGAAGAATGTGTAAAACGTCAGTTTCTACAATTCGAAGCTGATAAGGACAGACAAAAGATTTACAGCTGTTGCTGTGGCAACAGGTCGTTACATTTATTGTTGAACATGACTTGTATAAGTTACTATGAAGCTGCTGCATCAAAGAGTCACGCACTGCGTCTTTTGCCTTGTTTCGTACCTCCTCTCCATGGGCAGACTGTACTCGTCGCAGTCCCAGGCGTTGGGATGAGGATCGGACACGGCGTCCCCCCAGTTCATCGCGTTGTGTTTGGGAATCTTCTGGGCCCGCATTCCTTTCCTTTGATTTTGACTCCCTGAGAAAGGAACACGCTGGAAATAAACGCAGGCCGGTTCTCTCGTCGATATCGACACGGCGCGTTAGGACGGGCGATGCCCTCACCTGAGGTGCTGCTGCTGCTGCCTCTGTCGGAGCTCTGATGGGAGCCTCCTGTGCTGTGGTCGCGGGTCTGGTTGTACGGCATCGTCTTGGGGTGGATCATGCCCTCGCTTCCCTGCAGATCTGGAAACATCTTTTGTGTGAATTTTGAAATTTATACAAAGCACAGAACATTTGATTTGCTACGTACCGTTACAGCGCTGCTCGGCTGTGCTGTGCTGCATCAGCGCTGCCATCTCTTTGGGTATCGGCGGCAGGTTGGGCGGCTGCTTCCAGCAGGGTATGTCCGGGGGCTCGGCTGCACAGCCGGCGGCGGCGGCAGCCTTGTTTTTAATGTTGGCCTGTATGAGCTGCGTGGTGGCATACGGTATGGGCTCGTACGTGCCCGACGAGTCGCCTCCCGGGCTCGTGTAGCAAAAGTTGGAGTTGTTGAACGTCTTAATCTCAGTGAGTTTGCTGGAGAGATTCACGTCGCTGTATATGGGGGTCTCAGAACCAAGCTGTCCCCCCTGCTTGTTTTCTGGGTGGTTTCCATAGTTGGCAATGCAGTCAGCTAAGGAGGAGAAACAAAGCAGCACATGAACAAAGCAATGGCACGAGAGGCTATAAATCTTCAAGCATTGCTGCAAGGTGTTGGTGTTTTATTAGTAATAGAGGCTGTATTTCAGAAGCGTCTATGTGAGCTATGAGGTGTGTTTTTGTTTTGCTCTAACCTGGTCGGCTGTATGTTGTCATGTTGCTGTCACTGGTGCCGTTGCCATTATTGCAGCAGTTGATGCTGCAGTCCTTATGATTGGCACATGCGTTTGGCCAGTTGTCTGGCAGCCACAGCTGGTTCAGAGGCTCGCCCATGCTGAGAGGGACAGGCCTGCAACAAGGAGGATCACAGCGCCGTCAATCTAAGACCCACTGATATTGTTTATACTATACTATAACAGAGCGAGCGGCTGAGACCACTTCGAGCGTGGGAAGACATCTCCCCCTAGTGGTTCTGCAGGGTAACTGGCATTTTCTCGTGTAACAACAATGGGACAAAAATATCAGTCACCTGCCAGCTCCGCACACAGTATCTCCTCTTTGATATGCCACTGAGAAGACAAAAGCAAAGAAAAAAGAAAAAAGACGTTCAACCTTGATGAAAAATAAAAGAGAAAGTGCCAACAGTGAAGACAGCCATGAACAGCAAGCGGAGACAGTGGGGAAAAAAATGTGAAGTCAAGTCTGCACACTTCAATACATGCTTTCTTTTCTTTAATAGATTTGTGTTTAGCTTATCTTCATTGCATTTACTCATTTCGGTACAGTAATTTAGTCAGGATAACCAGTATTGTTGTGCTGATAGACCAGGTTACGACTAGACAATCTACTGTGCACGTTTATGTTATTCCTTGCATAAAATGAGCTCCTTATAATTCTGATTGCCTCTCTTCATTTTATTTAGAGAAAACAAACATAAATCAGAAATCAATTTTCATCAGTTTGAACTTTAAAGCTTTTAACTCAGGATTTCTAAAAGATCCTATTGGCTGCATGAGCTGGTTATCAGTTTACCCAGAAAGTTAAAAAAAATAAAAAAATAAAACATATTTATTTCCTAATCCTAAACAGAAATCAGATTAGGCTAAAACTGGCATCAACGGGTCGCCACCCGAAATCGGTATTGGAAGTTCGTCGTAAAATCCCAAGTCAGTGCATCTTTAGAATGAATAGGATTTTTTAAAAAAAAGTTATTCATCAGGCTATAAAGTACATACCTGTAGGTGTAAACGTAAAAGATGGGACTGTGGAGAAAAATGAGGGAGGAAAAAATTAGTAAAACCATAAAATATTAATAATAATAATAATAATAATAATAATAATAATAATAATAATAATAATAATAATAATAATAAAAACTACTCTTTTATTGAAGATATAGACTGCTGAGTGCTCTGGACACATCACTTGACGTGTGCTTTTAAATATAAGCTATGAGCCTCATTTGCAAATGCTGCTTGTCTTTTCAATTTGAGTCTCCAGGTGAAGGTTAATGAAGGGGTCAGCCTGACAGACAGCAGAAACACTGTGGCAGATTTAAGCTTGGCAGCTTGACAAGCTCTTTACCTCTAAACACTGTGGTGCACTGACAAAATGGCGCTCTACAAATATGCGATTAAAGGCCACCGAATGTCAACACTGCCTGGAACGCAAATATGTCAAAGGATGATTAGACCAGAGACCATTTCCCCCCCTTTGATCTTCATTTGCTTATCACCAGGAAGATTTCCCTCAATATAATTGCAATGATGACTTGTGTGTTGTGTGGTGGCAAAATGTCAGTGTTTGATGGCCACCTTAATTATAATATTATTCAATACAGGCACTCCAAATGGTAATATACTTTGATATCCCGAGTCTCTGCAAATTATTTCATGAGCTAAAACGGTGAGGGGACACGGGAACACACCCTTCCGGATGCCGGTGTATGTGCTGCTGAGGCCACTCCTCTTCTTGCGATGACGGTACAGCCACACGCTGAAAATCATGAGGATGAGCCAGCAGGTGGCGCCAATGCCTGCGATAAAAGCCGGCTGCTTCACCACCTCTGAGATCTGGGACAAGGTGCCTCTTTTGTCGCTGATGTCCATCATCTGGCCGGCAGAATCTGACCAATAAAAAGCAGGAGGACAGGCTTGAACGTGAGTACGGAAAGAGCTGTGTACGTAGAAAAAATGAAAATAAAAATGTGAAAGCTATCCAGAAGTTATTGACAACCAAGTGGATTTAATATAAAAAAAAAAAAAACGAACGAGAGGAACAGAAACTTCAAACTAAACGCCACCCAGCAGTCTGCTGTCCCGTTCAGAGGGAACAATTACCTAATTGAAAGAACGCCACATCGCTCTTGACTCCTGGGCCGGCACCGTTGCTTGCTGCAACTTCTACGCTGTAGCGAATTCCTGGAGCCAGACTGGGAATGAGCACAGAGAAGGTTGACCCATCCACCGACTGATTCACGTGGTAGCGGCTCTCGTTACCCAGGCACCAGATCTGTGGAAAACGCAGTGACAAGATGACGATGTTTGCCAGAGGGACACACTCAACAACACAGTGAGACAAATTATAAAAAAAAGAACCAGAACAGATTTGAGCTGTGGTATTTTTAGACCTTGTATTCCTGAATGATTCCGTCCTCTCCCCCCTCTGGAGGTGGCTTCCAGGAAACAAGGATAGCAGTCCCATTGGCATCGCTCTTCGTGACTGTAACACCCTGGGGAGCTCTTCTCGGGGCTAAAACAGGAATACACACACTTGGCAACAGGCACATGAAGGAAGACTTACCTGATATGGCTTTGCACTGAATAAAGCAATGCATCATTTCTCTATTGCAACAGGATTTGTTTTTAATAACACAAATATTTACTGAGCCTTGCAATAGTGTTCATACACATTGAACTTAATCAGTTTGTCACATTACAACTAGAAACTGTGATCATATTTGTTATGATCATCGCACAAATAATCTACACAACTTCTGATAAATAAACTTTAAGGTAATCATAAACCCAACCATAAGCTAATAAGTAAATATGACCCACCAATGTGTGATTTAATTGTGCACAAATGGCAAAACTGAGACTGATTAAACTGGAGATCTAGCAGTAGAGATGTGTAAAGAAGAGTTAGCCTGTGCTAAAAGCTTACAGGCTAAGATGATAGCTTGTGCTGCCATCTTAGCAGCACAGGCTAATGTTAAATCTGTCTTCTGAAAAGTGGAAAGAGTGTGGCACTACTGTAAAGCTACCGAAACACGACCAGTCACCTCAACTTAAAGGATTTATCAAAGAAACGGTCAGAAGGCCAATGGTAGGCAATGGTAGCTTAGGCAAGAACATCTGTTGACTGACGATTTTCCTTTCTCTCAATATCAGGCCTTTATGGAAAAGTGGCAAGAAGAGAGCCATTGATGAAATGAAATCAGACAAAATCCAGTCTGAAGTTTCTCACAAGTCATGTAGGAGGGACAATAGGCTGGAGACACACAGGCAGAGGTACTATGGAAAAGTCTGCATCAAAACAAGGTTGGAAAACTTCTGTCTACAGACGCTCTCCATCCACTTCCGCCGAGTATTGAAAGAACCATGGGCAAAAAATGTCAGCCTTTAGACATCCAAGGTTGATAGCAACACACAATCAATGGAAGAGGGATGTAATTGCAGCAAAATGTACTTCTACAAAGTAATTTCTTTTAACTCACTTTTGAGATTTTCGTTTTCCTTCTACTTCGCCATTTTACGTAACCCTGTGTTCGTCTGTCTCATAAAATCTGAAGAATGTTTAAGTTTTGTAGCTGCAATGTGTGAGAAAATTCAGGACGTATGAGTACTTTGCAAGGCTCTGTAGCTCCAGCTGGACTTTCTCACCTATATTTAAAGAAACTGTTCTAAGAAAAAATAAATTACCTTCTTCCAATGTCCTGACAACCTTCACCTCACTGTCAGCTCCTTGGAACTCATCAAAGAAAGGTCGCACTTTGAACTCGTAGATGCATCCCTTCTTTAGCTGACTGATCACCACCCCGTCCTCCGGCAGGGCACGCACCTCCAGAACAGCCCACTGCGATTCCGGCTGCCCGTGCTCCGCGGATACCCTGTAAAGCACCTTGTAGCCCTGGATGTAAGGGGACTGCTGTTCCACCTAGGACCCATTCAATTCAAGTAGTTATTTACCCCCTGAGAGGCAATTTCCTTATAAACATATAAATTAATAAGTGCATCACATAATATGCCTTTAAATGCGAAACCAGTGCAAGTCTTGGTTTGCGTTAAACATCCCGTAGGAAGGATGTATTAAAGCTTAGTAACCCTACTTCTCCTATTAACTTCCACAGATGAAATGTGAATTCTCTGTGCAAACCACAATCTGAGGTCATTAATAGTTTCCACTCAGCATGGTTTGAGGAAAAACAAGCAAAAAGACAACTAAGCACTTTCCGTTTAAACCGCATGATTTTTGGCAAAGGGTGCCTGAAAGAATTTCTGAGCAGACACCCACACAGAAAAATGCTGCTGGCATAGTTGTATCTGTATGAAGCTAAACTCAATGGGTAACAAAGACCAATTCATTTGTTGCCTCTCTAAACCAACTCTCTATCATCTTAGCAGCACGTAATGTATAACAGAGTATTTTTATAATTTCTTTCAACACAGTAGACAACTGTGTTGACACTAACCACAACTTAGTTTCATATCTGATGAAAGTGCGGTCGCTAATCTATCAGCAACTCTTATTTTCCGAGGCTGGCTATTGACCCAAAAACAAAAGACGTGTGTTCGTGTTTGACTTTTTGTCTCATTTGTCTTAATTCCGGGAGCTGTGAGGGCGTCTATCTGCAGTACGGCCAACATGATGAACTCACCATCCAGTGGACCCGGACAGCTGAAGATGACAGGACTGTCGGTGTGTGTAGGTGGATCACAACATCTCCCAGTTCTCTCTGGATGTGACGGTGGTCCACCCCCTGCATGGTGGAGGAGCTGTCTGTGTGTGGAGCAAAGGAAAAATGTTAAACACTAAACATTTCAGAAGTGTGGGATTTTATGGGAAAGACCAATACATATGTATGAAAAATAATGGCATGGCAATAAATTGGAAGGAAAAATTTTAGATGGGTTTTCAGAACTTTTCACAAATAAAAATCTGAAAAGCAGAATGTTTTTCGGGGTCATGTCGCTGCTATCTTTGCAGGGCAGTTCAAGATCAGTCAGGCTCGATGGAAATCGTCTGTATACGCAGCACTTTTCCAACGGTGGCCCTGAATTGCAAACCACGTCCACAAAATCATTAAAAACAAGTACAAATTTAAAAACATAACATGTTTAGTCATTTGTTCGTGTGGTTCAAGTCATGCCACGGTGGTTTGGACTTTGACTAGAGAGGTGGTCTACAACCTGGACGGGTCGCCTGTATGTCAGAGTAAAATATGCAGTTGGTCGCCCTGGATTTTATTTGGGGGTATAAAAACAAAGGGGTTTCAATTCAGAACATCATGTAAAAAGCTTTGAAAATGATGTATGACTTTACTGCCACTTCACAACTTTGCGCTACTCTGTCTTGGTCTGATGTCAAAAAAAATCAAACACATCAAACTTTGCGGTTATAAAAATAAAAAGTTTAAAGAATCTGAATACTTTACCCGCTAATATCAAGCGAGTATCTGAAATGAAACGTTTCTGTGAAGTTTAAGGTGTTTGCTAGAAGCGAAGTGAAAACTGAGGCCTTACACTTACCTTGAGTTCTGACTGAGTCAGAGATTGGACTGGGATCACTAAGGCCATAAACATTACTGGCTCTGACCATGAAGAGATAAACAGTTCCAGGTTTCAGATTAGTCAGAACATGGGACTCAGTCTTCACATGCTCTGCTAATGTCACCCATCTGTTTCCTAACGTATAGCTGCGGAAAGACGAGGAGAAATCAAATAGGATACATACATATAACAAAATATGATGTGAATTCAAAAAGAGCACAAATATATCTAACCTGAATGCTTCAATTAAGTAGGATGTGGGCGCTACGCCAGGATTAGGGCTGGATTTCCATGACAGCGTGACAGACGTCCGGCTAACATCAGAAACTTCAGGTTTAGACGGAGCACCAGGAATCAGGTGGGAATCTTTGGGATGACCAGACTGGACAACAACGCCAAACTCTGCCACAGAGAGCGCAACAAATTTACCAAAGTGTGAACTTTACAGTAATCCTCAGGAGGAAGAATAAAATCCCTGCGTATGAATAAAACACCTTCCACTTGCAGATACGCAGTCCAGGAAGCCTCTCCACTCGGACTAGAAGCAACACATGTGTAGAACCCTGAATCGCCCAGCTGACGAGAAAAAGATTCAGGTGCGCAGGTTAACCGGTTGACATGGCGACAAGCCTGGTCTTTGCAATTGCTATTGCACTTTAGGCCTTACCTTTGCATAGTGGATCTTCAGTGACCCCGTTTCTGTTAGGGACATCCGAGAATCCACCGGAGAGACCACTATGCCGTCCTTCTTCCAGTGGACAGCGGAAGGCGCAGCGCCAACAGTTTGGCAACCCAATACTACCGTGCTGTCAACGGGAACCGTCTGATTGGCGGGACCCTGGCGGATGACGGGAGGGGGGTGCTCTGATCCAGCTGTGAGAAAACAAAAAAAAAATGGAAAAGGTGGGGAAAAAAAAAAAACGACTCGATGGGAATATTTCTCACATTGTACATTAAACACAGCAATAAAGCATCTGACTTGAACAATGTATCTTATCCTGTTTAGAAAAATAAATGGATAAGGATTAAGTAGACTCTTATTTTTTACCTCGTAAAAGAACAACAAAAAAACTGCTGAGTTGTTTATTTCAACTCATGTCTTTGGTTTTGAGACAGCAATACGTTCATTTGTAACCAAACAATGGATCAAAAATTGTGTATTTGAATTTGTTGGGTTTGAGAAACAAGAAGAGCTTCACCAAACCTCTTCTACAGGATAACAAAAGTATGGAAAATGATGCTGAATATTTAAATGTCAATGCTACATGAAGTACTTTAGTTCAAGGGAACGAGTCTGTTCACCGAAAAGAACACAATACGCCCTACTGTCGTTCAACATTCACACTTTGACCAAATAGGGAAAGAGAAAAGGGAAAACACAGAGACTGCTAACTGCTAGTCTTTAACAAGACTTTGATTTGTTTAAATGTTAGAAAAATAAGTACAGAAGGTCATGCTTAAGATATTAAACATCAACTGTGTCACATTAAATTTTTATCGTCTGCTCTTTTTCTCCTAAACTCCCGTCTCCCTCTGTTCGCTTTTAAAACAAAAGACCTAAAGAGGTTAAAAAAAAATAAAAAAAAAACTAAACTAAAGTGCAGGTCATTAGAAATTGAGCTAATGCTCAAAAAAAAGGGTCAAAGTTATAAACAGAGAAAGCTATAAAAAGTAAGAAAGATGAGACGAGCGAAAATAAAATGAAGTGGAGAGGAGGCAGAAAGAGATAAGATGTGAAAGATATTGGGAGGAAAATTGGTAAAGCAGGAGAACAATAGGCTTAGGTGGATGTGCAGGGTTTCGAGGAGAAAGAAATCAACTTTTCCCCTCCAGCGGAGGGCAACTAATCATTCATTGGGTAGAAGGTACTGCTGGAGCCGGATCCAATCATGACAGCAAAGCCCAACTAATAACAGTTCCACTTAGATAACAGAGCTCCCTCTCTCACACACATTAAAAAAAAAAAAAAAACCTGTGAGTGGGGGTGAAGGTTTAAGACAGCTAAATAAATAAAAAAAATAAAAAACACTCCTGTTCCTCCTCCCGCCCCCACCACCCAAAAAAAAAAAAAAAAAAAAATGATGAAAAAATGTTTTAAAAAGCGCCCGGGGTAATGTGAGCCCGTTATTACCATACAAATGCACCTCTCCAGTTGGAGATGAAAGGAATGTGTTCGGATGGAGGGAATTTAGGTGAGAGAAGTACAAGTCAGGGAGCAGATCTACGACAAAAAAAAAGAAAAAAAAAAAAAAAAATGGGCCATCATCCCTCTTTGTAAAAACGCCGCACACCTGCCGCGCGTGAAAAAACGTCCGTGACTGCGAGCGTTGCACTTAATAACTCCGCAAGTGGATCCATTTACTGTCTGTTGAAACCTGAAGCAATTATCTCCCGTAAATATAATGCACGTACATTTCACCAAGTTACATGTATGCGTGCTCACACAGGTGTGTAATTAGGGGTGTGAGCCTCCAAGCACAGATAAATTGGTTTTTCGAAAGCAATTAACACAGATATTTCGTCGTGTTGGATTTGGATTAGAGTCCCCCCTCCGAGCTCTTTTACACACTACCTATAAATGGCATCATATGTCAAAATCACCAGACTTCATTCACAAACGTCTACTCGCTACTGTGGAACAAAGACAAACAACGTCAGCAAATGTTCAAAGGGATCTTACATCAGTTCGGAGGAAAGTACTCTGACCCTCACTTCTAGGGTTTCACCAATCAGGGGGCTTCGTGTAAGTAATTTTTGGTATCTACAATCCCGCTGTTTATTAAACGTTGTTTGCTCTTGCTTAAATACCGATCAGTTTTAACTGGGTGGTGATCTGGACTTCGTCTGGGCCGTTGCATTACCTTAAGGCCCCCCTCCCCCCCAACCATTCTTGTTCAGTTTTCACCAAAACAAGCTGTGTATAGGACATCTGATTCAGCTTTATTTGACCAATGGACATTGTTCCAGAAGTCTTGGAATCATGTTTGCTTTTTAAATAATAAGAGTTTTGTACACCTGAGGTAAGGCAAGGCATGTTTATCGACATATAGCACCAGGAGGAAGGCAATCCATTCTGGTTGATTGGAAAGAAAGAAATGGCCAGTGCCATTTCTTTCAATGGCACTGGCCATTGAAAGAAAGACTAAATAAATAAGAAAACAATGTATCACATTGATAAGTTCTAGTCCAGGAAACACTGATTAAGCAGATCTCTGAAGACCTGAGGGGTCTGCATGCTTTGTAGTTGACAAGCAACGCAGAAATCTATATTCGCCGTAGTGCTTTGAGGTTAAATTTAAATAGTGCTAGAACATGGTGGTAGAACATTAGAGTTTTGATGAAGCTCTGATAAGTAAAACCCAAAGTTTAAAACACACACTTTCTTTTCCAAAACCGTGTCAATCGATTTTTTTTTGCCAAAGTTATTTAAAAAAAAAAAGGAGCTGCGAATGAAGAATCAGCAGACCGAAGCGCAAGTCGTCTCATTTGGCCTCTTTCTCCATTACTCACCATCTGTAACTTCTAGCAGAGCTTTAGTAATGACACTGCCAGCTATGTTGAGAGCCTGGCAGATGTAGAAGCCCGCGTCAGAGCGCTGAACGTCCGTAATGGTTAAGCTGCCCATTTGGGAGACGGACAGACGGCTGAAGGGCTGTGGCGGCTGGTAGGAGAACAGAAGACTCTGGAGAAGGGAGGCAAATCGCAGTTAGAAGCTCTCCCTCCCCCTCGTTATCTTTATTTACACCGAGCAGTGATTTAGTGGGATGGCAGAACAAGAGGGGTGGGGGGTTGGGTCAGTCTCACCTCGCTGCCCTCCCTCTGCCAGAAAATGGCCGGCTGCGGGTTGCCCGTGGCTTCGCACTGGAAGGTGACCGTCCTGCCCACCGACACCGCCTGGTTCCTGGGGCGAACGGCGAAGGCGGGGGGCACTGCACAAGAGGGGAAGCTCTAATTAATTGGCGGCCTAACACATCTTTTGATCATTCAGTGTTTTTAGAGCATCCCTACGTGCATATAAAATGCTCTTTTTACCCACACATATTATGCATTACATACTGTAATGGTGGATGGAATAACAGCGACACAGGTTCATGATTTCCTGTTGCTGTCTGATGGTGGATGAGGGATGGAAGACAACTTACCCGTGTCGACTAGAAGAGAAGGAAGAAACAAAAGAACAGTGGAATGAGTGATGCAGAACTTGACCATACAGCAACATCTTCTCACTGGATGACAACAAAATAACCCCCCTACCCCGAGCTTATGGTTTTCCTTGAGTTATGTTAAGCATCTTTTCACACCTGCCTTTTACTGTCATCCTTTGCATCTCTCACTTTTCCTCGACTATATCATGGTTTAAACTATTTCTTACGAATGTTCAACCATGTACCGTCTCTTGTAAGAGTATGCACCCTGCAGGGTCTGTGACAAAATGTGAGAATGTTCAATGTCTCTGTATCTAATGCATTCGAGGTTTTGTATGATAGGTAGTGTGACGGAAAATGTTTGATAAAGTTCTAGCTCTGGTCAGTGAGATTTGATGGAAAGCTTCACGTTGCAGACATCATGTCTCACAGAAGGGATAATGTGTAGAGAAAATGATTAACTCGTTAACTTTTCAGTCTTTGAATTGTAAACAAAAAGAAACAAACAAACAACAACTTAAAAATAAAAGAGAGCACATTAACGACTGTGGTTGTACTGTGAGAAAATGTGAAAACGTTCAAGGGGTACAAAATCATTTTTGCAAAGCACAATATGTGATTTTCTTTTCTTCTCTCCCTCAAGGCTCCTGCTATTTGCCAAGCCACAGTTGAAAATAGGAAATTGTTGTTAATCTGTCTTGCTTGTTTAAATAAGAGCTAAATAATTGTTTCATTCCCAATTCATTCAATCTGCTTTGAAGCTGAATGTGTATGACTGTGTACACATGTGGAAGGCCAGTCTGAATGCTCTTTAATTAGGGTGGAGTTGAACATGACCATACTGCCTCAGAAAGTCGCACTGGGTTTTTTTTTTTAAACACATTACTGCCTTATATACGTACAGAAGCTTGCATATAAATTGCAGGATCTTTCTCTTGTGATCTCATTAATTATTTTCCTTTTAAGATAAGACAAGAGCAGGTAGTACGCCCTTCATAAAAAGAAAAACGTTGCACTCACCAGCTAACCTGTTCAATTACTTATTAACACAGAAAATCTGCCTGTCACACGGTAGTGCCTTTAGGCGTCCAGAACGGTGAATGTGACTTGCTGAAGTTCAAAGTGAGCATCCGAATGGGAAGAAAGGGGATTTAAGTCGCTTTGAACGTGGCACGGTTGCTATTGCCAGACAGGGTGCTCAGAGTAAACTGCTGATCTACTGCAACTTTCACATGCAACCGTCACTCGGGTTTACAGTTTTTCAAAAAAAAACAAAACAAAAAAAAAACGAAACTACAACAAGTTACAAAGGCACGTCGTTTGGACAAAATAATACGTCGTCGTCAAAGGTCGGTGGAGAACGCGAAGGTGATGCAGAGCGAGCTCAAACAAACGCTCAATACAAACCGAGGTGAGCAGAAAACACTGTTTAAACGCACACAACACTGTTAACCTCAATGCAGACAGGCTGCAGCAGCAGAAGACCACATGAAGGTCGATGAGCTCTTCTATTTAAACGAAATCTAAAATATGAGAATAATGACTGAAGTTATAGGATTAGTGAACATAGAGGCTAATTTAGATTAATACTGATGATGACATAAGGATAAAAAATTAATTAGCTATTTCAGGAAAGAGACACAAAAACGTTCGTAACGTCTAAAGGAACCTTCCTAATTTAAAAACTCCGACTCCCAGGATTATTTCGTATTACTTAGTAGTTATATTGCACATTTATGAAAGGAACTTCTGCTGTGGCTATAACTTAACCTAAAGTTTTATTTTCCATTTCATTACGAGACATCCATATACTTAGATGCCTTGCTGTTCACTTTAATTACTAAGACTACTGATCTGTCACTTGGCTGCACTTCTTTCCTTCACCACAAAGAAAATCAGCTCCGGTACCCCTTGAAGCCAGTTTTTTTTTTTTCTTTTTTTTTTTCCAAGGTTTGCAGAGAAAAGGGAAGAAAATGTAATTGGAACCATGCCACTTCCCAGCAAGAAACCACTGCTACCTTATCTTTAATTAAGTCCTACCAGCTTCGGTATATTTCACCCACAGCGACACAGCAACGTGTTTAATTGAACGGGTCTACGAGCTGTTTTACTTCTCCTTTTACATATCTAAAGGTGCCACTGAGGCAGAACAGCTCAGACCAAATGAATCTGTTTTTCTGTTTTCTCCTGGCCAGGTTAACGTTTCCTCAGACTCTCCCCCCCCTCCGTAAACAAAGCGCTGCAATTTGCATCACATGTTAACGAGACGCAGAGAACGTTGCAGATTTTGTAGGACACTAAAAAGAAGCAAATAAAAAGCGGTGCGGACGATTTATTTGCACGGACGTCTTGTTTTATAAGAACAAGAGGGGGGAGAGCTATTTGAGAGTCGCTCCAATTTTGAACAAAAAGAAAACCTTCTTCTTCAAGAGAAGGTGTTGGATATCTTATCTGACATTTGTACTGACCGTGTACGGTGAGGGTGGCAGATGCTTCAGATTTCCCGACCATGTTCTCTGCCATACACGTGTAGGAGCCCTCATCTGGAGAGGCAACTTGGCGAACAATCAGAGTGTGGTCCTCCAGGATTTCAAATCTGTGGGCACAAAGACTCGAGAGATAAGACAAGTAGCTGAAAAGCACCACGTGTGCGTCGTGATTTAAAGGCGGAGTGCTTCTGTACGCTACCTGCCCTTAGGTAGGTCAGAGTCATCTTTCCTCCAGCGGACGGTGGGGACGGGGTCTCCTTGAACAACGCAGTGGAACTCCACGCTCTCGTCCGCCAGCAGCACCACGTTGCCGGGGCGCTTCACGAAGGTTGGCCGCTCTGAAGGGCACAACAACAGGAAGAAGACACAGATGCATCACCGCGGTCATCAATCTCTCGCCACGGTGTTTGTGGTGCCTGTGGCGAAGAGGCTGATCGGAAAAGAGGAAAAAAAACAAAAACGTGTGTCCACCATTTTCAGCAAAATACATTTTGACCAAGAAAAACGAAAGCAACAAATTATACACATTTAGAATGAAAGACATAAGGAAAAAAGGGAACGTACATAGTAGTTTTATTGTGTTTTTTTTTTTTTTTTAAACATGTCTACATGTCACAACAAGTAGCAAATCAGTGAGTCACAGGGAAGTTACTCTAGGTATCTAGATGTGGTAAATGGATTTGGTGCCAGATGAGCTAATCTGATTATTTTAGAAACAGCTGAGCTATTAGGATCACTCGGAACCTTTTACAGAAAACTATCAGGAAAAAGAGAAAACATGCAGTTATGCGGATTGCACACATTATGTGGGCGACAGTGGAAACAGCAGAAAACCAAAGAGGGAGGCTATTCTAAACTATGCTAACAGGGTGAAATGTGCTAAATGTGCTATCCATGCCAATCCCATTTATGGATCATAATACAAGTTGGAAAACATTATTTAAATATGAATCTTTTCACTTGAGGAGCTCTTTGGTGGTACTTTTTTTATCACTCTCATACACACAGTGCAAAATTAATGATAGTTACTGGCTTGTTAAATGACATTTTTAATAAGTAATTTCCACTGAAACGAGTAACTTTTACTTTCCCCCAAAAGCTTTAGAATCAGGAGCAGCAACTTTTTTTTTTTTTTTTAACTACAGTTATGTTATAAAAACCTTTAATTCTGCTCCTCTCTAGTCTCATAGTTGAGATTTAGCAGCTCTGCAGGGGACAGCGATATGAATTTATGTATGAAGGTGTCATTCTGGTATTTATCAAGGAGTGAACAATCAGAAATATAAGTATAACTGTGCACACAAATGCAGCAGCTTAGAGGGCAGATGTCTGGTTTATTCATATTAGCGTATGAAACTCCAGCAGCAGCTACTGAAAGGAGCAGATCAGATCCCAACCTGTAAAGGAACACCTGTCGATTGAAGTTACAGATTTGTTGCAGGAAAAAAAAAGCGCTTGCGTTTGAGAAGATGTTCTGAAAAGAAAATTATGCTCACAGGGAAACATGGTGAGAATATTCAAGCCCAGGTGCTACTCAGAGGTGAAAATCTCACAAAAAACAAAACAAAAAAAAAACCACCCTACCTTGATCAAGCAGAGCTGGTCCTTCATTATTTAAAGACATGCTGCAACCCGTTGGTTTGGATCAATGCAGAAAAAGATCCATAGAGAGGAAAGATTATGAGCTAAAAATGCAGCACAAGCTTTGCAAGTCGTACCATAAAAACCAGGTACAATCAGGATTGCTGATTGTCAGACATTTGTCTACGGATAACTCTGAGTTTTTCTTTGTATGTTTGAGCTGATTTATGAATTAAAAAGAAAATCTAGTCATTATTTATTCATTACTTGAGGAGTCTATAAATCCTGCATGCAGTTTCGCAAGCACCCTCATCCTTATTTGGCACAAAAAAATAAGAAAAGTAACCAAACTGCCTTATCCGAACAACAAAAAAAAAGCAAAAACCCTTCATGCAAATACCAGCCTGTGTACTTGTCTTTTCAGCTGCTACATTTGTGCATTCACCAGGCGCATGCTTCCCTGCGTCTGTTTTGCGGGGATTACCTTTCCACCCATGAGGGACTCGGCAGCACCACAGCCACTAAAGCTGCTACATCTACAAACTCACACCAAGGTCATCTAACCATTTGGCGCTGATAAGAGCTCTTCTGAGATGGAAAGTGTTAGTAAAATATGGGGTTGAGAGACTAAGAATGGAGGGTGTGTTTAGGCATGAGAGCATGTAGAGAGTGTCAGAAGCGCGGCTCCGTGGGGAGCTCTTACGCTGAAAGGTTCGCAACGTCGGATGCAGCGGGAGCAGACGTTCGCCACTTGTTTTGTGGGAAAACCTCTCCAACGCTGCCAGACTGAGATGGCGGCGTAATCAGCATAATTAACCGGTTATTACTATACCCCAGTGACAACAGTTTTATATAAAGTGGCCTGGCAAACCAAAGCAAGTGAGCTGTGAGGGGAGTTAGACTAAGTGAAGCAGTTAAAAAAAAACACACACACACACACACACACACACACACACACGCTATAGTGGAATAACAAAAGGAGTAAATACTACCTAGCACAGTGAGTACCGCGATCTCACTCTCCCTCTCCCCCACCATGTTAGTGGCCACGCAGATGTACTTCCCCGCGTCGCTCTTCCTGGTGTTGGTGATCATAAGCTTGCCGCTCCGGATCTGGAAGGGAGAAGCAAAGAACGTCTTGTTTGCACAGTTGTATTTGCATGTCACGGGAGCGTGCGCGGCGTCGGCGGATGCGGCGTGTATTTGTCGTGCGTGTAATAATCGGCCTGCAAATTAAATTTGTGGCTAAGATCCGCGGCGGCTTCGATTCTCATTGTGACGCCGTGTTTGCTTTCATGTAAGACGGCACCTGCATGCGCACTCATCTTTGGCTAATTTCCTTTTGGAAAGAAAGAGGGAAAAAAAAAACAACTTTATTTTTTTATGCACTTGATAGCATGACAGCGTAAAGAAAATCTACAGTCTTTCAAGCTCCACAGAAGGTCACCACTTATAAAATTACATAATTCATGCCCAGCACTGCACAAGAACCCTGGGAACAAAGAAGAGGGGCTCTTTGTAGAGATGTTCCTTAGATGTTCTGTCAGCCTGCTTTGCCTTTCCAAACTTTTTACCCTTTCTTTGTGCATATCTATACACACACACACACACACGCACATACGTGCACACACACGCACGCACGCACGCACGCACACACACCATCCCTTTCCTTACCCACAAGAGGCTAAAGATATGTGCTCTCTGCCACGCTGTTTTCAGCTATTTTCAATACACTCCCACAGATGTCTTTATGTTGTTTTGAAAAAAAAAAAAAAAAGAGCTGCTGCACTGATAGTCAGCAGCTAGCCAGTGTTAGAGGTGATATGGCAGCAGCATTGAGCAGATACCGTAGATGGGAGAACACGCTGATCTTAAGACCTCAAAATAAAAGGCCAGATCTACTTTTTCCATCCAGTCCTCTGAAACCTTCTCCGAGGAATCGACTTCAATTATAAAACCTTCAGCCAGGCTGTTATGCTTTTAAGACCGCTTCTTTTCCCCCACCTACACTCCGATTTGGAATCAAACTATTCATGTTTGCCTGCTAGAAACGTGCAAGGCGCGAAGCAAAGCTTTGGCATTTGTTAGCATGGAGTCACGGGGGGGCCAAGGCCGCCTGCGGGGGCCGCGTCCAAAAAGCAGGTGCTATATGCTACAACGGCACCTGTCTTGGTGGGCGCTTTAAACCCACCACACAGCAGAGAGAATGCACCATTAAATTGCTGCTGGAAGGATGAAAAAAGCAGCCTCTCAGTTATTAGTCAGTCTCCTTCAGGCTAGCCTGACATTGCAGCACAACTGACTAGTCTTTTTTTTTTTTTTTATGTCAATCTCTAGTAAACCAAAAGAGCTCAGGGTTAATGACTTTTTTTTTTTTGATTCAGCAGCCATTCTTTCTCCTGTTTGATTATCCTAAAATATGCTTTTATGAAGAACTGCATGTCAAATATCTCTAGAAAAATGAAAATCAAACTTTCTAACTCAAACTGGCAGCTCAGGACTTCTCAAGAAGCAAAAAGTAACGTAGCTCAAAACAATGTTTATCTCACTAAAGTTGCTCGCTCTCATTGCCTCCGTTCTGCCACGTTCGCTGTGATAGCAGCTGCGTTAACAATTCAAGCAAGTCAAGGGATTTCTTGACTCAAGGCTTCTTATTTTTTTCACAATCTTCTATTTCTATCAATTCAATTTGTGGCAGAGGCATAACTCTCAAGTCTTATTACCGTTTTAATCGTGAATAAACTTTGGGAAGCTGATGTGCTTAAATGTATTGTTTGGACAAATCAAATAAAGATCTGTTCAAACACCATTAGCTAAAAACTTACGTGTGTCAAAACTCTAAATATTACTGAGCATGTTAACTCTGTCTTCAAATTCCCATTATTAACTAAAAGCTCACGGTAACACTGGAAGCGGCCACGAGTTTCTCGTGCACTTCTTTGGTTTCCGTGCAGCCGCTAATGTCTTTGAGCGAGCGCCACTGAGAAAGACCAATTTCCAAACAGAAAAAAAGATGATTAGGGAGGACAGAGACGGGCGCGTGGAGAGTACAAAGCAAAAGGCAGCCTTTGTATTTCCCTCTGTGAAGCCTCCCCCTCCCCGCAAGCTCTGATCTGGTCCTCTTCTTAAATCAGAGGTAGCTGCTCTGTCCATCACCGTCCCCCAGAAAGCCTCTACCTGTCACTCTGCACCAACATGAGCTTTGAGTCTCTTCCTGCCGTCCGTATAAACAAATCTAAGGCGAGCGCGTGCACGAACAGTGTCAGACAAATCCAGAAATGAATTTTATTTTGCTTTCTGTGTTCTGTTCTTGAGTTAAATTGGGGTATTTTCCTAAGTATATGTCAAATAAACTTTATTTTCTTTCTGTAAAGGGCTAATCTAACATAGTTGCATAATGTGTAATGATGTTCATTTTCCTCTTTTTGGTTGTGTGTTAAAAAAATGAATTTTGATGAGAGGTAAAAAAAAAAAAAAAAGGCTGCTTTGTAGCAAACTTTTGACCATTCTGAGAGAATTGGTCCATGTTTATGGACAGAGGAGTTTGTATTACTGTGATGCGTTCGTCTCTGTCGTCCAAGTTGGCGCCGTCTCTCCTCCAGGAGATTGTGGGCTCGGGGTGTCCACGGGGGGGTTGGCACTCCAGCACCGCAGGCTCTCCAACGGCAACCATGACGTCAACGGGGTTCTGCCTGAAGTCGTCCCGCAAAACTGGAAAAAAAAAAAAACAGAAAACACAGATATATTCAATTATAAACAGATAGGAGGTTTTTACAGGGTTTTTTTGTCAAACCTCATAGGAATGTTTTTTTTTTTTTTTAATATATCGACAATATTACAGCTGTGTACCGTTTCTTGGTTGTAGCATAAAAAATGGAAAGTATAAAACCATTTAGCAACAGTGTTGCTAAATGAGGACTTTGCATGCTGAAGAGCTTCATACGTCATACTTTGCTTGAAGGAAAAAAAAAAGTGCAACTTGATAATTGATTGCTATCTTAATCTACACACATTTATAAATTACCTGTTTAAAAATGTTAATTTAAATGTTTCCATTCATCTTATGCCTGGAATCCTAAATAAACCTGGTCCTCGTTGTATATCAGTGTATTCTTTGGCTGATTTGCATCTCTTTTTTTATACATGTGCTTGACCTGCTGATGCCAGTTATCGATACTATGACATAATACATCAAATATGTGCAGCAAAAGAGTTCCCATTCGTGCCTCAAAGCGTTTATGTTTCTAGCATTTGTGCGATTTTCGGTGCATCTTCATTGCCACCGAAAACAGTGAGTGTCCTTAGTTGTGATGCACTTAATGAAGCAAAAAGAATATCAATTTTGTCAGTATCTGACATTGCTATAACCAATCAGCTGTTTAGGGAATAACTAATCAATTTTAATCTCTGATCAACTGATTGGTGCTCATTTTTATGAAAGTCTGGACACTCTCAGACAGTTGTTTGCCTTACAGGAGAATGAAAGGATGCGCTTGAATATAGCTCATGAGAATAGTGGGATGCGGACGCTTCCCACTGCAGGAGGCTGAAAGCCACCACAGCAATTTATCATCTTTCCTCAATGAGTAGCCTGAGTGCTGAGAAAGCAGCCAGAGCTGAACCGGAGACGCGGCGAGCTTGCATCTATTCCAAAAGCGTGTTATTTTCAGTGGTTGCAGGCAGTTCTCATCTCCACCGTAAACAACAGGCACATCAAGGCCTCCACTGTGCAGCTTCCAGCTCCGCACATTTCAAGGAAGCTCAGGTTGGAGCTTCGTAATTTAACGTACCGCCGTCATTTTTCGAGATTTACAGCCGGGAAAGGAGGCGCACAGAGGGGCCTCGAGTTTGTCGGGACGGGAACACCCTCCCTTTTCTTTGCGTTCCGTCTGAGAAGATCGCTTCACCTGATGAGGTGAGGTGAGCGACGTGCTCGGATGTATAGACGGCTTGTGCATTTGAGCGACTGCTGCTGAGCATTTCCCAGTTTTAAATTACAAGGCGGATGGGGAGGGCTCGTGTCCCGAACAAGCTGAGGGGAGCCAAAGCGGAGCAAGCAGCAGAACAGCGAGTCGAGTCGAGCAAGGGTGAAAAGACAGGAAACAATGGGGGAAACGCATAATCACTCCCAGATGGTGGCAACCCACTCACCTCTGGCTGCAAATTTCAATATATCGCGGGGCAATAAGGCCAGTCAGAGATGCATGACGGGAGAACAACTCGGAGTGACCTTCTAATTGGAATTAGCGAATGAGGGCTTCTCTCTCCCGTGTTGGCCCTCTGATACACAGAACTCCGCTGCGACTGTCTACGTTTGACTGAAAGCCGATGGGAAACAGCTGTCGGACGACCCCCCTCCCCCCCAACCTCCCCACCCTCGACCCGTCCCACCTCGCCTCTGCCAACACCACCGCGTCACATGATAAAAGACCCTCCTCGTGGGACGCGGAAACGAGGCTGAAGTTACCTCAGACAGGAAAAAGCCGAGACCATCGCGAGTCCGTGTGCGAGAGCGTGCGTACGTGCGCGTTGATTGATTGACTGATACCGTCGCATAATTTCGAAGGCAATCAAGTTACACATCTGCTTTTGCTATTGTGTGTGAGGCCCAAATGTTTCCGTAGAATGTGAAAGCTTGGATTAGCTCCGAAAGGCCGTTTGTTAAAGATCTATTTTTGATGATAGTGCAGCACTTAGTGTAAGAGGAGAGGAAAGAGAGGCACGATTAAAGGCGGTGAGACCTTGGGATGGTTAGTGAAGAATGTTCTTGGGAGTGTGGGCTAGTGGCCGCACGTCATACTGATGGTTTCTAAGCACATAAAGAGAGACTGGATGAACTGCATTAGTTGAACTGTTTGTATTAACGCGCATCTGCTCGAGAGGAAATTCTCAAATGTTCAAAACCTAAGCTATTCTGTACGTTTTCACATTACTGTCTTTGACTTTACAGCTCAATGTTCACAAATTAAATCCATTTTCATCCTGTCGTTATTCTAGGAGCTACATTTGTTTCTTTTCCTGGCATTTTCATGCTAGTTCCCTTTTACAAAAGGAAAGACTCATTCACTCACATTTATTTCATCTTATATATCTGCATCTTATACCTTTGCACATCATATCTTTTCGATTTCCAAATCCTGCTTGTTTAGCTCAAGCTTTTGCACCTCTCGCTGCTTTCTTTTCCTCCCTCCATCTCATCCCCCCCCTCCAGCCCCACAGATGAGAATCTCTCAGCCCACTTCAAAGCGTCCGCCCCTGGCCTCACCAGTCTGGATCTGACAGTGTCTGACTTGCTGTTAGTCCTCTGGAGCTTGAGCCCCGGCTTTAAAAAAAAAAAAAAAAAAAAAAAA